TATATATATTTTATATATATATATATATATATATATATATATATATATGTTATATACTAGTGGAAGGATCTATTCTTCGCTTGGGTTGTTCATTTTGTAATTGCAGTGTTTATTTATTTTCAAAGAAGTTAGTACAACATATTTAGGTCCAAAATATTATTTATTTTTAAGAGCAAAGTACAACATATTTAATATCTAATGTGGAATGACATTTCAAATGACAGCCAAATGAATGATCTTTATTGTAGAATTTCCTTGTAAACAATGTACACGGTGGTTCCAGTATATACAACTGTCTTCAACTACCAACTCTGGAGCAAGTCATAATTGTCTGTGTGAAAAGAGTTGTTCCCTTAAATAGTCACTGGAAGCCTCAAAAAGGGTGAAGTGAAAAATAATCCACCTATAATTTTCCTTGGGTGGTATTCTGTGATTTTGAAAGGGTTAGGGTAGATAGGACCAGCCATTCTCGAGTCATAAGCAAACTTATGTACATACATACATACACTTCATTTTCTATATATAGTTATAAGATATATATATTGCATACAGTATATAAAGATATATAACAATTACATGTAAGATATCGTATAATATATATAAGATTATAATATATACTATATATTATAAGATATAATGTAGATATATCTCCTATAATAGTATCTTGTATATTATTATATATCATACTTATATATCTTTATATATTAAATATATATATTTTGTCATGGGGAGCATGTTTATTTATATTTATTTAAAGGCATGTATATATGTGTATGTTTTTATATAAACACACGTATAGCACAAGCTTTTATGAACCCAGGTTCACTTCATCAGATGCCACAGAGATCAAACCAAGAAAACCCCCCTCACTAAGTAAGGCACAGGGTGATGAAGACTGAGCATGACACAGCCCCAGGTCAAGGGGGGAGTGGCTGCAGAACAGAAATTGCTTGGATGCCAAAGAGTCAAATGGAGCTACTGGACCATGTCTCATGAAGGTTGGTATCTAGATCATGGGGTAGTAGGAAAGGAGGGCTGGAGGGGACCGCAGGAGGCCGCCTGGTGCAGCCCCTGGTCAGGGCAGGATCACCTCTGCATAAAACCGTTCAAGCCAGTAGAATGCTGGACTAAATATCCTTCTCATGTCCCTTCCAGCCCCACTTTCCTATGAGTTGATGAACAATTTGGGTGACTCCTTGTTTTGGCTTCGTAGATTCATAGATTGTAGAGTTGGAAGGGACCACAAAGGATCATCATTTCCAACCCCCTGCCCCTGGCAGGAAAGAGGACCAAGGTCAGATGACCCCAGACAGCTGACTGTCAAGCCTCCTCTTGAAGACCTCCAAGTCAGGTGATAGTACCACCTCTCTTTAAAGCCCATTCCAGATTCTGGCCACCCTTACTGTAAAAAATGTCGTCCCAATGTCTACCCTAAATCTACTCTCCACCAGTTTGCACCCATTATTCCTAGTTACTCCCAGGGGCGCTCTGGTAAATAGCACATCTCCAATTCTCTGTTGCCCTCCCTTGATAAACTTATAGACGGCTACAAGGTCTCCCCTCAGATGTCTCTTGTGAAGGCTGAAGAGATCCAGATCTCTCAACGTACCCTCGCAGGGTCTTTCATGGAGGCCACTAATCATGCGAGTGGCCCTCCTCTGAACCCTCTCCAGGTTCTCTGTGTCCCTCTTGAAGTGCGCCACCCAAAACTGGACACAGTACTTTAGCTACAGCCTGACCAATGCTGCATGGAGGTGCAGCATCACCTCCCTTGATCTGTTGGTCTTGCATCTGCTAATACACGACAAGGTGCGATTGGCTTTGTTGATGGCCTTGTTACACTGCTGGCTCATGTTCGTCTTGGAGTCAACTATGACTCCAAGATCCCTCTCAGCCGCTGAGCTGCTGAGGAGGTCATCCCCCAACCTATAGGTGTGGTGGGGATTCCTCCTCCCAAGGTGGAGTACCTTACATTTATCTTTGTTGAACTGCATCCTATTTTATTCTACCCCTTGATCCAACCTGTCCAAATTGGCCTGTATCTGCTCCCCGCCCTCAGGTGTGTTAACTTTGCCCCGTAACTTGGTGTTATCTGCGAACTTGGAGAGGGTACTCTCCACACCCTTGTCCAAATCGCTGATGAAGATATTAAATAACACTGGTCCAAGGACCGAACCCTGCGGGACCCCACTGCCCACCTCCTTCCAAGCCGAGAATGACCCGTCCACCACCACTCTCTGGGTGCGGTCCCTAAGCTAGTTGGCCACCCGCCTGACTGTGTAGGCATCCACTCCACAGCCCATTAGCTTCCCTATGAGAATAGGATGCGAAAGTGTGTCAAAGGCCTTCCTAAAGTCCAAGTAGATGACATCAGCCTCAGCTCCTGTGTCAAGGCAGTGTGTGACATGGTCATAAAAGGCTATAAGATTTGTCAGGCAGGATCTACCTGTGACGAACCCATGCTGGTTTCCCTTCAGCATCATTTCCCCTGCTGGGCCTTCACAAATGTGCTCTTTGATGATTTTTTCCAGTATTTTCCCAGGGATAGAGACTGACTGACTTTAGACTGACTGGTCTAAAGTTACCTGGCTCATCCCTTCTCCCCTTCTTAAAAATGGGCATCACATTGGCCCTTTTCCAGTCCTCAGGGACCTGGCTGAAGCACCATGAGAGCTCAAACAGCCATGCCAGCAGCTCAGCTATGACACTGGCCAATTCCTTCAGCACTGTGGATGGCGGTCATCCGGGCTGGTTGACTTGTACCCAGCAGCCCTGCCAAGTGCTCCTTACCTAAGTCAGCACTAACCTTTGGTAGTTTGGTGCCTTTTGGACATCTGTCTATGCTCAAGGTGGGGGAATTGTCTTGGTCAGTGTTAAGGAATACTAAAGCAAAGAACCCATTGAAGAGCTCTGCCTTTTTCTCTGCATCAACCACCAACTGTTCTGATCTGGGGCCCTATGTTACTCTGCTCTTTCCTTTTGCTTGCTATGTATCTGTAGAAGGACTTTTTATTGCCCTTAATTGTTGAAGCCAACCTAAGCTCCAGTCCTGCCTTGGCCTGCCTAACTGACTCCCTGCAATAGTGCGCCAGGGAGGTGTATTCCTCCTTGGAGGCCGCCTCCTGCTTCCACTGCCTATAAATCTTTCTTTGCCCCCAGTCTTTTCTGAAGTTCCCTGTTCAGCCAAGGGATCATTTTTTATCCCCTTACCCACTTTCCTGCATAAGGGGACAGACTCCTTTTGTGCCCCAACGATTACTCCCTTGAGAAACCTCCAACCCTCCCGGACCCCCATTTGCTCGATGCTCTTGAGTTCTGCCACCTCGCTAACTAGCCCTCTAAGTTTACTAAAGTTGGCCCTTCTGAAGTCTAACATTTTAGCCTCACTGGATATTTTTCCCACTCTTTGCTGGATAGTGAACTCTACCAAGTGATGGTCACTATCTCCCAGGTTACTGTGTACTTGCAGGTTCCCCACAAGATCATCCCCTGTTGCTAAGACCAGGTCAAGCAAGGTGCTACCCCTGGTGGGACTGGACGCCACCTGGGTTAGGTAGAGGTCCTGCACACAGTGTAAGAATCTACATGAGCGGCTTGCTTTGGCTGTCTGCTCCTCCCAGCAGATGTCTGGGTAATTTAGATCCCCCATGACCACTTCCTCCCTCACCTGTATGGCATCTGAGAGCTGCCTGGAGAATACCTCGTCTAGCTCGTCATCCTGGTGAGGAGGTCTGTAGTAGACCCCCATTACCAAGTCCTTTTCCCCTGCCCCCGCCAGATCCTGACCCACAATGCCTCTGTATTCCCCTCCTCTACCTCTGCCTTGATGATGGAAGATGTGTACTGCTCCCTAACA